GTACTTGCCATAGCAAAATAAAAGATAAAGACAGAAAGATACCTTCCGTTTTTGTCAGTGAGGGTGGAGCCCACCACGAGGTTCAGCCGATCGAAGATTCTGCAACCCCAGAAGGGAGTGCCATCCCACTGACGGACCACACCACGAACGACCGAGACACGTCTAAGGGAAAACATAATTGAATAATTGACTTGCGGACGGGAAAAGGCACGAAGGACTGGGGGAGTAGACAGTCAATGAAGATGGTGCCTTACCGTGGATTAGCTTTGTCAGTTGTGACGTCTCGAAGCATGAGAAATTCCAGCTGTTCATAAAAACTGCTCCCAGGTGGAGCGACCTTGGTGCTTAAAATGAGGCCACTAAGGTCGTTACTATGGGCACAGCTTTCGCGAGCGTCTTCGACAGCTTGCTGATTCCCCCGGACCCGAGTCAACTTTTCGCAGTGCGGAGTGCCGCAGCAGTCTGGATCCAAACAATCTATGAGGCCATCTGTAAAATGATGATAGAAAAAGGGGTGTTTGCCTCAACAGTGACAATAACGTCATCCTACTGTCATAATCGCTGCCTACATCGCCACCAGCTACATTAGCAGCTGCAAATAGTCCTCACATGAAAAGCGCTTGGGGATAACAACAAAGGGAGAAGACGATTACACTCAATTTAATGATAACAAGAGAAAAGGAATCAATAAAGATGTTTTGATCACTTACCTATCCACACTGAACATAATTTTTTCTGAGAAAACTCGAAAAATGGAGTAAAAATGGCTATTTGCCTGAGATTCAGGTTTCATTCTCGAACCCACCATAAGACACCACAGCTGACAGGGTTGCAGAATTTAGAAGGCACAACTATTGTGCCACCTCAAGCTTACGAAAAAATGACAAATTCAGCATTAATCGCAGGCGGTCGCACTGACCGCGATACTCGTTTTCTCGACCGCACCAGTCGAGTCCTCGAATGCTACGGCCTTATTCTCAGTGTCAGTGGGTGGTCGGATAATTGTTCAGACATTTAGCCACAAGTAACGGCACTGGCAGCAGCGACCCCGTACACACGACCAAGCACTCTTCTCAGGCAGCCTTAGGGGCTGAATAGAGGGCGGAGGTCGTGTTGAGCTTGCCAGTAATACGTTTTCATGAGTTTTCATCTACCACACCTTATGACCCGCTAAAAGTCGTGACTTGAAAGGGACAGTGTCACCCACCACCATGAGTCCTGACCATGAGTTTGTCATTTGAGGGGCATGAATGTTGGAAGAATGGAGAATGAAGTAGGCGTCACGCAAGTTTACGCACAAGTCGCCATCGCGTTCTCAGAACACTATTGATTTTCGCTGTTCGCGACGGACACAATTGACCCGCTTTCACACCTATGCGTAAACCCAACAACGTTCCCAAACTTTTATGCACCGGAAGGACTTGGAAGAAAGCCTTACCTTGATCGTCATCACGTCCATCATTGCAAGATATTTCAATAGGGACCTGGCAAGCGGAGCCCTTGC